CAACCTGACAGGAGATGGCCAAGCGGGGCCGAGCCACCCCATCTCTCCGGCACAGCCCCTCCCCAACGCTCCTCAGAAGCGGGGTGAGTCAGCGAAGGCACCCCCCCCAGCTCTGCAGAATCCAGGGGGCCCAGGCCACTCACCGCCCTGCCTCCCCCAGCAGCCAGCCCCACGGCCTGTGGCCGCGGGGGAGTCCTCTGGATTGTGCACTGCCCCACAAAAGATTTTCCTTTCCTTTCTCCTGAATTTACGGGAGGACCCCCGTGCTCTGACAGGGCACGAGAACAGAAGAGAAGCCCCTGTTGGGTCAGGCCAGTGGCCCCTCCAGTCCAACCCTCTGTATCACAGTGGCCAGAAATACCAGGGGCCCTCAGGAGGTCCAGCAGTGGGGCCAGGAGGACACTAGGAGCCCCCCCCCACTGTTGCCCCCCCAGGCACCAAGAATATAGAGCATCCCTTGCCCCAGAGTCCCTATCTATCCCTTGTGGCTAAGAGCCACTGATGGATCTCTGCTCCATATGCTTATCCAGTCCCCCCTTGAAGCTGTCATAAGAACATAAGAGAGAAGCCAGTGTTGGATCAGGCCAGTGGCCCCTCCAGTCCAACCCTCTGTATCACAGTGGCCAGAAATACCAGGGGCCCTCAGGAGGTCCAGCAGTGGGGCCAGGAGGACACTAGGAGCCCCCCCCCACTGTTGCCCCCCCAGGCACCAAGAATATAGAGCATCCCTTGCCCCAGAGTCCCTATCTATCCCTTGTGGCTAAGAGCCACTGATGGATCTCTGCTCCATATGCTTATCCAGTCCCCCCTTGAAGCTGTCATAAGAACATAAGAGAGAAGCCAGTGTTGGATCAGGCCAGTGGCCCCTCCAGTCCAACCCTCTGTATCACAGTGGCCAGAAATACCAGGGGCCCTCAGGAGGTCCAGCAGTGGGGCCAGGAGGACACTAGGAGCCCCCCCCCACTGTTGCCCCCCCAGGCACCAAGAATATAGAGCATCCCTTGCCCCAGAGTCCCTATCTATCCCTTGTGGCTAAGAGCCACTGATGGATCTCTGCTCCATATGCTTATCTAATTCCCTTTTGCAGCCGTCCATGCTTGTAGCTGCCACCACCTCCCGTGGCAGTGAATTCTGTGTGTGCATCGCTCTTTGGGTGAAGAAGTACTTCCTTTTATCTGTTCTCACCCGACCGCTCAGCAATTTCACGGAGTGCCCACCAGGAGTTTGTGCAGTGTGAGAAAGGGAGAAGTGTACCTCTTTCTCGATCTGCTCTATCTCACGCATAATCTTGTAAACCATCATGCCCGCATGCTCTCTGTTTCCAGACCGCACAGCATCTGAGACTCCTTTGCTCTGACACCCTCGCCCCGGGCAGCTCATGGGACTGGTGTGGGGATAAAAGGGAGAGAGACAGGTAGGCTATCTCCCCCCCCACACACACACACATATCTAAGGGACCTCTCCCTGTATGTCCCTCCCTCGGAGAGCCTCGCGCTCTGCTGGTCAACGTCTGCTGGTTGTCCCTGGCCCCCGCCCGGGGGGGGGGGAACAGGCTCCCAGGTGAGATCAGGGCCCTGCGAGACGTTCCACAGTTCTGCAGGGCCTGTAAAATGGGGTGGTTCTGCCAGGCCTTTGGTGGAGGTGGCAGACGCCCAACCATCGGGCCTCCCTTGCTGAAAACGGCCCTGGTACGTTTGCCCACGTCAAGAGACGTTCCTCTCGCCTCCGTCGTGTCCCTCTGCCCTGCCGTCTGTTTTGCACAGCTGGAACCTTATAAATGAATATGTAATCCTGCCGCCGTTTAAATGGCTTTAAGCAATTGGTTATAATGGTTCTGTAAGCTCTCTTGTTGCCACCCGCCCTCAGCCTGCTCGCGGGGAGGACGGGATACAAATCCAGCAAATAAAATAAAATACTTCTTCACCCAGAGAGTGATTCACACGTGGAACTTACTGCCACCGGAGGTGGCGGCGGCTACAAGCACGGGTGGCTTCGAGAGGGAATTAGATAGGTGGGGGTGGAGGCAGAGTTCCCTGGAGAGAGTTTTCAAAGGAGGGGCTCTCTTTCGGCTGTGCTCCTGCAGAGTGCAGGCGGCTGGACTAGATGACCTGCAAGGTCCCTTCCAACTCTAACGTTCTATGATTCTATGACAGTGGTGGTGAACCTACAGCATGGGTGCCAGAGGTGGCACTCAGAGCCCTCTCTGTGGGCACGCGTGCCATCACCCCAGCCAGGCCCAGACCCAGACCATCATTAAAGTGTCGAATTCTCTGCCAAATAATTTGAAGTAAATGAAAGCATTTGTGATTGCTTTCCTTACTTTGTTTGGATCATCTTAAGTTAATGTTTTTTTCTAAAGTAAAACCTCCGTATTCAGGTTAAATTGCCGTGTGGGCACTTTGCGATAAATAAGTGGGTTTTGGGTCGCAGTTTTGGCACTCGGTCTCTAAAAGGTTCGCCATCACTGTTCTATGATATGGAGCAGAGGTCCATCAGTGGCTCTTAGCCCCAAGGTATAGGTAGGCACTCTCAGTCTGGGGCAGGCGATGCTCTGTCTTCTTGGTGCTTGGGGGGGGGGCAACAGTGGGAGGGCTTCCAGGGCCCTGGCCCCACTGGTGGACCTCCTGAGGGCACCTGGTATTTCTGGCCACTGTGTGACAGACAGAGTGTTGGGCTGGAGGGGCCACTGGCCTCACCCAGCACTGGCTTCTCTGATGTTCTTAAAATAAATAAATGGCAAATAACCAAAAGTCGTTTGAGAGGGGAGTCCTGCTGGCCTGCCGTAGAAGAGGCAGACCGGAGCCCAGCGGCACCTCGCAGACCAGCAGGGTTGCCCGGGCATGACCTTTCGAGACTCAAGGCGGGCCCCTTCACGCGCGGGAGGCCTCCCTTTCCCTTTCCCTTCCAGAGTCGTGGACGGGCTCCCCACCAGAATGTCGCTGCCCGGCTGACGGGGCCTTCTCGACTGTGGCACCAACATTTGGCGACTCCCTCCCCAAGAAGGTCTGCCTGGCCCCAGCTGCTGCCGCCATCTCCCACCCCCAAGAGGAGACTTCTCCGCCCCCTGCAATGGTCCCTCTCTCTCGGCCTTGTGCTTTCACCTGCCCTCTTCTGTTTCATGTATGTATTCTTAGCTCTGGGTTTCAACACGTTTTATGGCGTATTTTTATTGTGTTTGTGGCCCTGACCAGACAAGATGTAAATCAATCAATAATAAATGCCAAGAGAATGAAACCAGAACTGTATTGCCTCGTTCCAGCGAAACGTGCCCCTCGCTGACGGCGCAGAACAAGAAAGCAAACAAGCCGGAGAGGAACCGTGGAAGGGCCAAAGTCCACTCGACAGCAAGCCAGAAGAGGCCGGGTCAGGTCGAGGAGGGCTTTGGCTGCTGCAAGCACCCGGGAAGCCGGCGGTTCCTCATTTCTCAGAGGCCGCACAGAGGAAGAGAGAGAGAGAGTGCCCTTGAGTCTGGGGGGCGGTGGGGGTGGAGGCAGAGTTCCCTGGAGGGAGAGTTTTCAAAGGAGGGGGAATGTGTGTGCGGGGTGGGTGGGGGTCAGTGTCACCGACACAGGCTGCTGGGACACTCTGTTCTGGATGGGGCTGGCCGCCAAGACCGCGCTGTGCCCTGGAAGGCCCCGCCCCCCGAACTTCCCTCTCCTTGGGGACAGACGCGTCGCCCACGGCGGGAACAGGCACCCACACAGGAAGCCTGGCCAACGCAAACAGGGCATCAGGGTGGCCACGGACAAACCTGCCTGGCAGCGGCTCTCTCCTGCTCCGCGCACTCTTCCCTGCAGGAGCCAGACCACCTTGAGCAAGACAAAGGCGGGCTCTTGCCAAACACGGTGAGCCAGGGGAACCAGTCGCCTTGCCTGGGCTGGGCATCCGCAAGCGGCAGTCAGTAGCCCAAGAAGCAACAGGAGACAAACCACGCACAGAGAGGGCGGCAAAAGGCCTATCTCCCCCTCCAGTAGTTTCTTCTTCAGATACTCCTCCCTCGCTTTCCTCCGTAATGGGGAACCAAAGACGCCTGCATCCCAGTTCGCCCCTCCTCCACTTATTCCCACAACGATCCTGCGAGGTAGGAGCATGTGACGGGCTCAAGGTCACGCTGCAGGTGCAGGGCTTTCAGCCTCGGTCTTCCGGAGCTCAGACTGATGCTCGGACCCCTCTGCCCCCCGCTAGCTCTCAAGGAGTCGGGCCACAGAGTCACAGAGTTGGGGGGGGGTCCTACAGGCCATCTAGACCAACCCCCTGCCCAGTGCGGGACCAGCCTAGAGCGACTTCAGGCTGGCCTGAAGCGACAGAACAAAGTCTGAAGGGTGCACACACACAAAAGCTTATCCCCAGGATTAGACTCGCCGGTCTTCAAGGTGCCTGACTGGACTCGAACTCTGTTCTAGCAACAGCTATGAGCCACACGTGTGGCATGGACCCCACAGACGCAGCAGGCCGCTGCCTCGAGGCCCCTGCCTGGGAAGTGTTTGGCTGCCCCCTGTCAGAACTAAGGGTCTGGCCCTGCAGGGGAGGGAGGAAGCAGCGGGCAGCACAGGCGGCCGGAAGACCCCTCCCCACCAGCACCTTCTGCGGCCACGGAACGCAAGGAGAGAACGGGCTCTCAGGCGCTGGCTGGGCTGCTTCGGAAAACAGGCCCCCGAGAGAGGAAGGAAGTGTCACGTATAGCGGTTTGCTAACACCCAGAAGAGGTGTTTTGCACACAGCGGCCTTCGTGGATCATTTCCGAAAAGCAAAGGCGGCTACGTCAGCGCATGTCCCTTGGGTGGGTGGGTGGAGGGCTGACCTCCCAAACAGCGTACTGCCAACGGCCTTGCAGGCTGAAGGTGGCCCCGGCTTCCTTGACTACCCTCCTCCTCAAGCGCCACTCTGCCCGGGGCCAAGAGGAAGGGGCTGCCTGCCCTTTGACAGAGGCCCGGTCAGCTGAGCCTGCCTCGCCCAGCCCCACGGCTTCCCCAGGGCAAAGTCCCCCAGGCCTCCTCTGGGACTGGCCTTCCTTCCCTCCATGGAACAAAAGCAGCCGGCCAGGCCCTGCCCAGGGTCTCCTCCTCGACCTATCTGGGGGAGGCGAGCGAGCGAGCCGTGGCCTGCCCCAGGTTGTCCGGGATGAGGCGTCTGCCCTCGACACGTTTCAGTCGGGCTTCGGGACCGAGACAGCACCGGTCGCCTTGGTCGACAATCTCCGTTTCCATCTGGACTAAAGCAGGCCAGCCCTGTCGATCCTTCTGGATCTATCAGCGGCCTTCGACGGAGCTGATCGCTTGGCCCTGGTCTTGCCTCCCCTGGGGTGAGGGGCCCTGCCCTTAGTCGGCTCTCCCGGTGCCTCCGGGGACTCTCTCAGAGGTGGGCTATCGGGGAGGAGAGGTCTCCCCAATGAGAACTGAGTTGTGGGGTCCCACAGGGTCCAATCCTCCCTCCGATGCTATGTAACCATGCACCCTCTTGCCGAGGTTGTCAGGAGGTCTGGAGTTGGGGGCCATCAGTCTGCCGAGGGCACCCAGCTCTTCCTCCTGCCGGATCAGCAGCTGGTGGCAGCAGGGCTCTTGGCACGATCCCAGGGCCCGGAAGCGGGAGTCTGCCGGCTGAAGCGGCGTCCATCCAAGACGGAGGCCACGTGGCTGGGGACAACTGAAACGCTAGCTTGGTGTCGTCCAGTTGACAGTTGTAGATGCTGTAATGAGTCTCGGGGGTGTGGTTGGGTTCTGCGCTAACGTTGGATAAACAAACGTCCACAGTGGTGTGGTCAGTGCTTTTTCGCCTATGCTGGGCCTACGCTGTTTGTCTGGGACAGACCTTGCCACATTGATCCATGCAACAGTCACCTCCAGACTGGACTACTGCAATTCGCTCTGCATGGGGCTATCCTTGAAGATGCTTCGGAGACTGCAGGTGGTCCAGAAGGCAGCTGCCAGGTTGCTGACCGGAACTTCTTGGTCAGCTCATATCACTCCAATTCTGCGGCAGCTGCACTGGCTACCAGTTGGTCTCCGGATCCAATTCAAGGTGTTGGCGTTCACCTCCAAAGCCCTTAACGGTCTGCTACCCTCATACCTATGGGACTGCCTCTCCTGTTAGAGCCTCCCGCATTCCCTTCGGTCGTCGTCTAGGGAGGTCCGGCCCCAGGATGGCTGGGTTAGCTGTCACCAGGGCCTTCTCGGTTGTGGCCCCTACCCTGTGGAATGCACTCTTGGATGACACCCGTGCCCAGCCGGACTTGTTCAGTTTCCGCAGGGCATGCAAGGCTGAATCGTTTAGGTTGCCCTTTGGAGGGTAACCACGTGTTTGGG